CAGCAGGAATAAGAGGAGGACCAGGAATGGATGGAGTTCAGGGACAGAAAGGTGCAAACGGTAGTAAGGGTGTAGAAGGGCCAAAAGGAATGCGAGGAGAGGATGCTCAAGGACCCGCTGGACCCCCTGGTGCTCCAGGTACGGACTTGATGGTGATTCCCTCGGGAGTATTATTAGTCACAGGATTTATGCTTTGTCCAAAAAATTAGTTTTTTTTTTTTGGTGCAACCGCCGCCCGGTTAGCTCATGTTGAAGAGCGCTGGCTTACAGACCGGACCAATACTCAGGGGAGAAAGTGCTACCTTTGGTATGATATCTGCAAATGGTTAGACATTCTAGTCTTCTCGGATAAGGACGAAAAACCGTAGGTCTCGTCTCCTGCATCTTCTCTACACTGGTTAACAGGGGACGTTGAAGAAATCCCACACACTTATCGCAAATAGTAGTTAACGTAGCTCCTGGTGTTGTGGTCTGGCCTCGTTGTTTTTCATGTAGGTCCCCATTTAAACCAGCTTTGAGCTGAACTGGGCTAGCCTTTCTAAATATCGCATGAGAGTATTCCAACTTATCAGGTAGAAGTCGTTATGCTGATCTAACACCGAATTCTTATAACTACTTACAAGGAAATGTGTAGCGGCTAGAGGGGAGAATTCACAATCAGATCTTGGTAGTTGAAGAGTTTAAGGCCACCCATCGATCTCCAGACCAATAAACAATGTGACGTAGAGAGTCCCTTATGGCAAAGACACCTTAACCGACGGCCCGAAGGCGAAAAGCTTCCTTTTTTAACATTTTGATTTTCAGGCCAGTTTATCGGGAAATGCTTTTTTTTTCCTTCATGCATTAAACATTGTTTAGCTCCAGTGCCGTGTTTGCACTGTAAAGGGGCCAAGTTATATCATCAACTCAGTGGAAGAAACCAAATTTTCTTAAAATACAGACAGACGTACACCGTATAGGGTATTGGTTTGGACAAGTCACGGAGGTGAACTACAGATCTTCATTGTTTTCAGGTCAAGACGGATCTGCAGGTGGTAGAGGTGAAGAAGGAGCTAAAGGAGACATAGGAATGGACGGCCCTGACGGAGCTCCGGGGAAAAATGGATCAAGGGGTATGACAGGCGAACCAGGTGGCAGTCGAGATGGACCAAAAGGCAAAGACGGCGAAGACGGAAAGAAAGGCGCAAAAGGTGTGCAATTAACTTGTAGTTGTGTTCTGGTTTGGATGAGCCATCACTGAAAAACTATTTCAAGTCTGTTATGACGCGGTAATTCGTCACTGGTGAAAGACTCATTAGATAGCTTTGGGAGCTTTCAAGGCGTTGAGAAACATGCTCAAAGTCTCGTTCGCAAAGTTCAATGTGTTAGCAGAGTAGTCCTCTGACACAGAGGGATCCACCACCGAACCTTCACAATTACTTTTATACGAAAAGTCGCGAACTATTTTCACAAGTATTGACATTTTAACTCGTGGATATGCGAGGCATAGGAACGAGTTATCGATGGCTTCGTGGTGTTAGCGCGGCCTTGGGAGTCTGGGGGGNAAAAAAATTCGCCTCCATACGAAAACGATGAATCGATTTGAAAACAATACCTTTTGAACGTTAACCTTACTGCGGAGGCTTGATACGTGCGTATTCGCTATTAGGAGTTCGCGGAGTGGATTGGAACTGATAGTGTGATGTCAGCGTTTTCGAAAAGTTCAGTTTTCTCATTCGTCGACACGTACACGCGAAAACAGTGTTTTCAAAAATTTCCACTCTGGGGAGCGTTTTTGAAAAGTTCCGTTTTCAGTTATCGTTTTCATCGGATACGTGTGAACGGAAGCCGTATCCGTAAAGAAAAAGGTGTATTTTTAATTGAAAACGGATACTTGTGGACTATTTTGCATCTTTTGAGGGGATTTTGGAAGCAGACCATCTAAAACCCCCTTCACACTTTCTCGATATTCTTAGAAAGATCCGTTTGGCAATTATTATTTTGGGGATCGTATCACAGTTCAGTTTGACATCTGATGGTCTTGGTTTTCAGCTGTGAGTGAGGAATGGCGTTCTGGAAAGATTCGTGTCAACTTATCTGTTTAGCTTTAATTAAATTAATTTACCAAACCCCTAGCAAAGTTCAGATTCTGACGAAGATAGCAGGTTGGATTCGGATTTTGTCTAGCACATGCTTATCAAGAATTCTCACTTCCTGCATTTTCTCACTTGTGTGTTTTCAATCTTTTTTAACTAAAGTGTGTGGCCAGGAAAATGCTGACTATGCCTTCCTCATGGATGCATCCCGTAGTATTCTCGAGGACGAATTTCAGTTGCTGAAAGATTATGTTAAGGACGTTATTGACTACCTCAGCATTGGCCCCGATCTCACTCATGTCGGTGTCATTGAATACAGCACGGGCGCGAAAATGGAGCTGCCTTTTAACCAAGCGTATGATAAAGAAGAAATAAAACGCATCGTAGATAACGTAACACACACCAAGGGTATTACACGGATCGATCTGGCTCTGAAGGTTGCCTCAAAGGAATTATTTGATGAGACAATTGGAGGAATGAGGAAGTCATCTAGAAAGGTAAAATGTTTCTGAATTTTAACACGTGTTGACTTAAGGGCAAAGTATTTTTAAAGTAAAATTTGCTGTTATCACGGAGATCAGTACAGTAGCAATGTGTGTTTTCTGTGTGTTTGCTGTCTGCAGTGAGCCCAGGACTAGTTTTACTTGCGATTTCAACAACTTGAGCCAGGACTTGGACAAGAGGGGGAGAGCTAAAAGTGCTTGTCCTTGAGCAGTTTGAGCATCTAAATTCTCCTTACAATATCACCCCCCCTGAATCACACATTTTTGTCAAGAGAAGAAAGGAAATGATCACCCGCTAAAGAAGCTTTTGATTGTTAAACAAATTCTCCTCATCAGCATCCTAGGAAATGTGCGGAGATGAGAATAGAGTCTTCTTTCTAGCGGGGCTCCCACGCGCGCTTCGCGCGCGCGGGGCAGAGCCCCCATACCCATGGAATATGGTCAACCTCTTTTCGTTTGGTTGTCACGTGACTGACCGAGCGTACGTACGTATGTGCCTTCAGATTGCACGGGTAGGGTAGGGGAGACTATCAAAACGAAGGGAGGGGTATCTCAGGCGAGTCTTGGTAAATGCACATCTTTTATGTTATCATTAATATTACGAACTTGGGAGCTCCGCTTTTACGAACTTGGGAGCTCCGGGAGATGGAGGTTTGTATAATCAATCACTTCTTTTGGATCAGACTATGAGGGAAGTCCGTCGCGCGGATTGATGTTCAATTTGGGAGCTTTAACAACGACGACGGCGACGGCAACGAGAACGGCGGAAAACAATAGGCTTAATGAGCAAAAACAATCGCTCTGCACGTGCGTTTAACATTTAGGTACATTTCTTTGCCGTTCTTGGCCAAACAACAACGTGAAATAACCAAATTTTAGTTTTTCTCGAGAACGTGAGCGCATGACGTTTAATTTTTCTTTCTATTCCTTACTTTAACGCCGTTCGTAGTGATATAGTTCTTGAATAGTTCGCCAGCATTTTCCAAGTGAAACACATCGGAATAATCTCGAAATAGTTACAAAAATGAAAAGTTAGATTTTGACACGACGTTTTCGTTACCGTCGCCGTCGTCGTTGCTAAAGCTCCCCTATTGATGTTAGCGCGCCGAGGGGAGCTCTTGGAGTGACGTCGAGCGCCTCACTCATGGAGCTTCCGCGACGCATCGACGTCACTTCAAGAGCTCCCCTTGGCGCTTGACATCGAGTTTTTTTTTTTTTTTTCACTGATTTTTTTTTTTACTCGTGCGACGGACTTTGCTGACTTTGTAGTCTACTTTTGGATGAGGTGTAGAAATGGTCAGGAGAAGTTTCAAATTGATCACTCGTTGGATATGAATGGTTAACAGGGAACCAACAAACAAACGATCAACGTTAGTTTTCTCTTTTCTATTCTTGCAAAGGTAATGGTTCTGCTCACAGATGGCAACCAAACAGGAACTGACATAGTACCAGACCAAGTACCTCTTGTTGATGCCATACAACCCCTCAAGAATCTTGGTGTCAAGGTGATTGCTGTTGCAATCGGAAGTGTTGATATCAATCAACTGCGTATATTGGTCACCGACAATGATGACATTTTGAGGACGGAAAGCTTTGCTAAACTTCGAGAACTTGTCAGGACCACTGTCGAAAGGAGCTGCAGAGGTAACTGAAGCAAGGGTTTAAACGGGATGACGTTTCAAGTAATGTGGACTCTTTGAAGCAAAGTTTTCTTTAAAATTACAAACTGTGTAATCTTTGAGATGCATGTGTTCCGAATGGGCTTTAGGCCGCACTATGGCCAATTTTTAAAAGGTAGGGGATTACTGAGCAAGACCAACGATCCCCCATGGCTAATTTACCTTTAATTTTACAAAACCTTTCGCGAAGACCTTTGAAACTGACGGAAAGTCGGTTGAAAATATTTTAACTTTGGAAAAACAAATTCTTAAGAACTGAGAGCTCTTTTAATGTCGAGCAATGTTTAAAGAGCCTTAGAAACAGTACAGTACAAATGATCGTTACATGGAAGAGAAGTGCTTGGCTTTACGCTTTTAAGTTCCATTTTTCCATTGTTGCTCTGTAGGTCCAATAGGGGACCCTGGTTTGAAAGGACCACAGGGTTTTCCCGGCGAATCAGGAGGAGTGGGCTTGGAAGGTCTCCCTGGGATGCCAGGAAAGCAGGGACCTAAGGGAGATCAGGGTCGCACAGGGACACCAGGTCCTGTCGGCGACAGTGGAGATAAAGGATCAACTGGAGATGAAGGACCCCCAGGTATGAAACTAAAAGAAAAGATCCTTTGCTGGAACAAGCTGCTGTTGAGCAGATGAAAGTTCTGTGCGGGATTGATTGGGAACAAGGCCCTTACTTAACCTTTTACGCCCTAACATCAGTATGCATATTCTCCATACTGTTCTCTATACGTTTCCTAAGGTGCTATCAAGGAGAATTCGTATAACAATCAATAGTTTCAATGACTGAGAATATATGAAAACCATATATGTGCACTGCGGTTTTTATGAAGTGTGTATGAAAGCGATCCTCGCAGTAATGAACACTACTTCAGTAGTAGTGGAAAAAAAGTCCTAGGCCTGGGTTAAGAAGTGTTCATTACTGCGAGGACTGCTTTCATATATACACTTAATCAACAGCTTCTTTAGTTAGAGATCATTCCCTTTATTATTGTGTCTATAATGTGTAATTCAGTGGTGATTTTGCAAGGAGGTGCTCATCACTCTCAAAAGTCAAAGAGTTAACAAAACATTCGAAACAAATTCCAGCCAAACTGATTTTTCGGTCTCTCGTCAGGCGTCATTTTGGAAATTGGCGCATAAGCTGGCGGCTCTCAAATTTTCAAGCAATAGTCCCTTCGCTCCCAGGTTTCTCAATGGGATAGCGCAGATAACGCTATCCAATTGAAACGAGTGGAACCATTCGAGTTATGCGAATGATTTTAGTCGTCGCAATCGTCTGGGTCCGTTGTGATCGTTGGCGCGATTCCACCTGCCCTGTTTTTTTCTAGGATTCGCAACCCCAGGATCGAAAGGACCAAAAGGGGACCCTGGAGATCCAGGACCACCGGGAGATCCCGGTCTTAGTGGAGTAAATGGTGAACAAGGACAGAAAGGCCTCCAAGGAGAACCTGGATTTCAGGGAAATAAGGGTGCTATCGGACCTGACGGACCGCCTGGACCTCCAGGAGAAGCTGGAGCTGCCGGTGAACCAGGTAAAAAGTTGATTGAGCGAGGTGAAGCAGTTGTTTTCTCTTAAGGTAGTACTCGAAATGGTCACCACATAAGTTATTTTATTGCGTGCGTCTTATTTAAATCATTTGTACTGCGTCGAGATGTAATGCACAGTCTTTGATGATTGCTGCCACACCCACAATGGGTGCGCTTTAATCTAAACTGGACATCTGGCTAACCCCTTTTTTCAGCAGTAAAGAAAGCGAGAATTGTGTGAGAAATAACTCTCAGCCGTGATCACAAAAATGCCTGTGCGTAGAGCTTCTCATAACGCCACTGACCGTTTTAATAATTGGAATTTTTGGGCCATTATTGTAAGCAAACTGAGATATAAACGGTCCGAATACGTGAAAGTGAAACCAAAACCTTAACTAGCAGGAGGTGGATAAATTGGCGCTAAGTAGTTGATCGAGTCTTGTGGAAACTAAATGATTAGCATTCAGGTCCAGTTCCCCAACTCCACTGAGCGAGCGAAGTTCAAACAGTTATATTTTTTTCCGTAGTGATTTAAATGTTTCGTCTCTTGATGTGTTAAAGGTACATCTGGAAGCCAAGGGATTACAGGATTTAATGGAATAGACGGAGAGATGGGTCCTCCTGGAGACCCTGGAGTAAGTGGTGATCCTGGCCCCCCTGGAGCTAAGGGCGAACCAGGTTAGGAAGTCCTTTTGCCAGACCCTTTGTTTAAGTGTCTCTTGGTTTCATATGATGAATTTTTTTGGTTTAAAATAATATAAAAATAAAGTGGTGGATATTTACCGAGACGCGAAGAAGTGGATACCAAAACCGCACAGATCTAAAAAAAGTAGTCTATTTCTTTCAATATACCGAAAAATGGTTGGAAATTAAACTCTTGACTCACGATTTTGTCTCATGGGCTTCTCGGGGGTGAATAATACTTGCTATTCACTTCTCAAGTAGACAATCAGCGCGCGAGAAAAGCACTATTCACTAGCGTGGTATATACTAAAAGAAATATTTCGGCTGTTAAGAAATGTTTATCTCAAAGAGAGTCAACGAAGCCTGTAATCTTACCAAAGTTTTTTACATGTCCTGTTCACAGGTCTGTTTGGTGAACCTGGGCTAGACCTACAAGGAGAAAAAGGTCAACCTGGACCTAAAGGAGCTGATGGATTGCCAGGTTTAAACGGATTCCCTGGTGAAAGAGGCGACAATGGATCGCCAGGCCGCTCCGGAAATGCCACACCTGGTGAACAAGGAGGAACTGGTAAGTGCAGACAAGGCAAGAGTATTGCAAGTTAACCCTTGAACTCCAAAGATTTGATTGATAATTCTCCCCTCTAGTTTCTAAACGTTTCCTTATAAATTATGTACGAGAATTTGGTGTTAGATCAAGATAAAAACTTTTACTTGATAAGTTTGAGTATTCTTATTACCTGTTTGCTTGATGGTACACAGTTTTTGTAGGGAGAAGTTGCATGTTGAACACTACTGAGAGTGAAGGATTACTTAAAAGCAAAAAAATGTCCATTCACTGAGTGTTTAAAGAAAGAGTTCGATGGTACCTGGTGATCATTTCAGATTGAAGAGGGGACGATTTAATAAAAATGACAAATGTTCAAATAAATAAACTGGCTCAATAAAAGACGACGTTCACTTCAAAGTAACATGATTTTCCTTTTTTTTTTTTCTTTTTTTTTTTCAATAGGAACGCAATATGAGGGAAAAGACGCCAAAACTTTAAAGTTCCTGTAACTAACAATTGTTGTTGTATATTTATAAGGTCTTCCTGGAATCAAAGGACAAAAGGGCGACGCTGGTCCACAGCCAGGAGAAGGCGTGGTCCTTCCGTCTGGTAACCAGGGGGATGTCGGAGCTGATGGAAAAATGGGGATGCCCGGATTAAATGGTGGCCCAGGACAACAGGGAAGACAGGGAGAGAGGGGAGGTAACGGACCTCCTGGCGTAGCAGGTAGGAATGTGAAGAATGCAGGGTTCTTCACTTGAAATTTATAGGTTGAAGCTGCTAAGTTACAAATGGAAAAATGTAATTTTTCTTCATTCAGCACTACTGTTTTGAGAATTGCGGATACCTTATCAATGCTATGGTTAGTTTTAATGGCTTTGTGATAGGTGATAGGTTGGTCTCCTGGCTGGGTTCGTTTTTAAGGCAAAGTAAGTTCGCCGCGTTAGAGAATTCGATCCCTTATTTTAGGTGTGCAGTGAAACTCAGAGGTTTGGTCACCAGTGATACTAAATACACAAATGGTGGTCTGATGGCGTAGTCATTTGTAGATAATTCTTAAAAAGATGGGAAAAGTGTAAAAGTAGGAATATGTAAAGGAAAGAATGAAAGGTCTACAAAGACGTACATGAGAAACCTAGCCTATTCTTTTTGCGTTTTGAGTGTTTCTGACCTGTTGTAGTTAAGAATGTGCTGAGCTACGTTGGAAGTGATCGTCAAGTGCTCGCGTGGAAATAAACGGGCATTTTGCAAATTTTCATTTCTTTCCGAACATGGTACAAAGATTGCAATCTTGCCTTTACAAGCGGATCACGTCAACTTCCACTAACTTAACGTGAGAAGGCAGAAAGAAATCAGTTTTATAAACAGGGTAAATGAGTAAAAAAACAACCTGCACACAGTCTCAACTCGCAAAACGGCAATTTTAGGGAAAAAGTAATGGTTGGTTAACAGTCAGACTTTTGAAGGTGTCTCAGTTGTTTTGTGTTCATCTGACAGGGGTTATCGGCGATCAGGGTGCCCCGGGCCCCTTGGGAGAAATCGGAGCACGAGGCATGCCAGGGATCCCTGGGGAATCGGGAGCGCAAGGCGATCCTGGAGCAGACGGTGCTAAAGGGGTTCAAGGAGACCGAGGGGAAGCTGGATCTAACGGTCAGAATGGGGAAAGGGGTGCCAGAGGGCCCAGAGGTCAAGGAGGGATCGATGGCATAAGCGGAGAACCTGGTGACGTTGGACCCCCAGGTACGAAGTCAGTTGTTGCATGTTTGTCATCTGCAGGAATTATCTGTCCAGATCAAGAAATTTTCGCCATGCCGGCGATGGAGTCGCAAAAAGCCGCAGAAGAAAGACCTTAAAAAAAAAAAAAAAAAAAGGGGGAAACGTAAACGACTCTCTTGGGTTTATTGTGCTACAAACACAGTTGGCTCTCTCTCGCGGTTCTCGAATTAAAAAAGTCAAAAGTCATTCTTGAGTCGAATTAAAGCGAAACCTCTGTGTTATATAATAATTCTTTTATTAACCAAGCTTGACTTCGTCTTGGTCCATAAAACGCAAAGAAAAGAACTCGGCCAATATCCAGCCATCTTGACCGCGCGCTTGTTCAATAACGTATCCTTGGGTTTCCCCCACGTGACCAATACCTTAGCAACGGTTACTATCCGCCATCTTGGTGTCCCTCGAGCGTAAACAAACCGTATCTAACGAAGAGTTCATATGAGAAAGAAGGGATGGTTTTATGCATTGTTGTTGGCTGTTCGAGCAAAAGTGGAAAGCATAAAGACTAAGGATTTTTTCGTATAATAATTTAATAATTTTATTATTTCTATGGCACAAAATTCATTAGATATATGATCTAATGCGCTACACCTAAGATCATTACAAATCAAGGGGAAGAACAGGAGGAACTAGAAGTTGTTGTATGGTTCGAGGCTTGCGGCTGTTGTAGATCCTCGATTTTTTGGTCGAGCTTTTCTTTGAGCTTCTTAGCCGATGAGAAATCGATGTCTTTAGCCCTCGCATACGGCACTTCATTGACATATGTCGGCAAAATCCATGAGCATTTTACCTGAGTGCAAGCAAGCTTGGGGTGTCACGAAAACTCACACCCCGAAAACTCAGACCTCAGACCTCAGACCTCAGACCTCAGACCCCGAAAANTTTTTGTACTTCGTCGCACAGATCCTTGTTGTCGCTCTGTTAAAATTCTTAAATATTTCGCGATAATAATGGATACAAACAGAGACTCGGCCCACCAGTCCCAAAACGAAGACAATTTTGCGACCCTTGGGCTAGAGTTCTTAAATGAGGCAGAAAGAGAAAAACAACGGGAAAGAAGACTCGGCATCAGCGCCGTCACGATTCGCTTCACTGAAGAATCACTCTTGATATTGTTGTCCGTCTTTCGCGTCGGATTTGTTGCATTATTCCACCGGTTATGTTATAAAACAATTGGTTCATGCTTTATGCTATGCACTATCGAATTATGGAGCACTTCGGAAGCTTGGAGAACACTTCGAGGGACCTGAGTTTTCGGTGTCTGAGTTTTCGTGACACCCAGCGAGCTTGCCATGAATTCGAGTAGTTGCCTCTAACATAAAATAAAACACTTGCGATATGTGAGCATGACTCAGCCAGTCCAGCTTTGCATCCCAAGCAATAGGCTGACAAAAAAGTCCCATCGTTTTCGGAAATGACCCAAATGTTCACTATAGGATCATTCATATGCTGTGAATGCCAAACTCGTGCTCTCACGACATACTTGCCGGCGATTACTTTGCCTACTTACAACTGAGGTTACAAATCCCGATACCATTTAATTAAACGCCTCTAGACTCTTGAACGCCTTGAACTGCTTCTTGGTGTAGAAGCTGGTCTCAAGAACGAGGTAACTAAGCAAGTCCGACACTTCCACAGGAGGCAAGCATGTCGGACTGAACTTCTCGGCTGGTATGCTTGCAGGGTCAATCCCGATGATCGAGATCTTTTGCAAACATCTTTCCTTCCAACTCTCTAAGCTTTCAGCATACTCAGAGAGCAGATACTTTTATCGCTTTTTTCTTTCTGGATATTCATGTAGTTGGCGAAATAATACGGCGATAAGAGAGAGGGCTTCACTATAGAAATCGACTAATTATTCATAAATTTGACACCCAAGGGACACCAACATGGCGGACACTAACTTCAGCAAAGCTTGTGACGTCACCTGAAACCCAAGAATAGTTCGGAAATCCCTAACTTGGACCGGGTTTCTCAGGCTTAAGTTCCATTGTAATTAGTGTTGTTGTTATTATATCTCGCACCTGATAGGTGACCCTGGTTCAAGGGGCCTTAATGGAAGCAAAGGCCTTCCTGGCATTACTGGCCTTGATGGACCCCCAGGCCCTCCAGGAGCACCTGGTGATCAAGGCCCAACCGGTGAACAAGGTGCTCGCGGAGAGATGGGAGAAATGGGACCCCCAGGGCCTAAAGGACTCAAGGGTTTGGTAGGACCTCGTGGCCTTAGCGGAATTGTTGGAGAAAAAGGTGAACAGGGTGAGTAACAAAATTTTAAGACATGTTCAAAGTCATTGTAATACTTGTTACATTTTTGTGTTATGCACCGTCACTGTGTGGCCGCCAACGCCATGGTTTTCACGAGTTTCTCAACAACGCGCGAGTGTTTCATCGTAACAGTCCATTAGACTTCCTTTTGGCGTGAAGTCACTCCTCCCGATGTTCCAAACGTCTAGCGTCGATCCACTCGATTAACCCCGGGCCCTTCAACCTCTAAGAGTGACCAACCTCTAATTTCTCCATACAGTAGTACCCAGAATCAAACATCAAGGTCATGAGAATATAGGAAATGATCATCAACTAAGACAGCCCTTGATGGTTATGCAAATTCCCCTTGTCAGCACCTTAGAAAACGTTTAGAGAACATTATGGAGAATATGCATACTGATGTAAGCGCGTAAAGGGTTTAGTATATCCTCCTTTTTTCCTTTAGGAAGCAATGGTACCATTGGTGGCCCGGGCATAAGAGGCGATCCAGGCAATCGTGGGCCGGAAGGTGAACGTGGAGCAAACACTATTACCCCAGGACCAAAGGGTGAGAAAGGAGTGGCTGGACTGCCGGGGCTCTTTGGTAGGAAAGGAACGCCGGGAAACCAAGGACCTCGAGGTAATTGGAAAAGTTATTATCGCCACGAGGCAGACGGTCAGGTTCGGAGAGCCTGAGCAAAAACGTTTTAGGGTCACGAATGGAAGTTTAGATACGAATACACGAAATTTTTGGACTCACCAGCTCGATCTAACGATCGGTCGTAAGATCCTTGTGTTAAGGCTTAGAAATGTACACTACCGAGGAGAGATTTAACAAAATCCTCGTTCGGAAAGAGGATGCTAAATTAATGTAATTTGAAACTCTTAGAGCGATTTACTGTTTATTTTGATCATTTCCAAACCATCAATTAGCACCAAAATATTCATCATTATCAAGCTCGAGAACTACTTTGAGTCCGGTAATAGTTTTTTGTTCGTTTTGTCTTTTCAAGGCCCTCCTGGAGATGTTCAAGGCCCGAAAGGCAACCCGGGTCTGCCCGGTCTACCATCTGAGAATAAAGGACCACGAGGAGAAGAAGGAGTTCCGGGAAAAAGGGGCGGTCCAGGCTTCCCTGGGGATCAGGGGTTGCCCGGTCAAGATGGCCCAACGGGTAACATAGGAAAAGCAGCAACAGGTGAAGGTTACCATTTGGTGGTCCACAGTCAATCTCCTAGAATACCCGACTGTCCACTGAATTTGACTCGACTGTGGACGGGCTACAGTTTGTTGTACGTTCAAGGTCACGATACTTCTCATGGCCAAGATCTCGGTGCTTCTGGCTCGTGTATGAGACGTTTCACTACCATGCCATACCTCTTTTGTAACATAAACGATCAATGCTACTACGCCTCTAGAAACGATTACAGTTATTGGCTGACCACAGATATACAGATTCCCATGATGCCCATCAGTGCTCCCGCTGTTGAGCCGTTTGTCAGTAAGTGTGCAGTGTGCGAGGCTCCTGGCCCTGTTGTTGCCACTCATAGTCAATCCACACAAAATCCAGACTGCCCTGCCGGTTGGGAAGCCATTTGGAATGGATACAGCTTCTTGATGGTAAGACACTTTGAAAATTAACAAATGGTAAACACCACAGCGTACACTATTGAGTTATGGATGCACGCGGGAGGTTGCTAAGCACGAAAGAAGCGTAAGAGTCGCTCGAGGCGACAGCCGAGAGCGACTCTAGCTTCTTGAGTGCTTAGCAAACCTCCCAAGTGCATCCATAACTCAATAGTGTACGCTGTGGTGTTTACCATTTGTTTTATAACATAACATTGATACATTGTAGCTAAAGAGTTCCCGTTTATTTAACAAATCTTACGCGACCAGAAAAAAACAAGCGCGCGCGGAAAAATAGTCTTTGCATTTGCTCACGTCAGCAGCGTACACCCATGGGCAAATGGGGAACGCTAAATTGACCAATCAGAGCGCGCGCTTTACTTTGGTTATGTTATAAAGTTAGTTGTAGCATTCTTTCCATCACTTCGCTTGTACGAACGGCTGAAGTTGCTCATGGGACCAGCCTGGTGAAAGTTTTTGTCAAGGTCAATTTATGCATTTCAAGGACTTTGATTTGCTCAAAAAGTAAATTGTTTCTCTTACATGTTGATAGAGCCTCTTAGTGTTCAGAAGTTTTCAGTGAGTTGAACATGCCGTTAGGGACCTTTTTTCTACAGAGGGTTAAATCCCCTAGCATCTGCTAAATTTGTTTTCGAGGTCTACCTATCGCCGCACACCCAAAAAAAAAACACAAGGCGCGTTCACAAACAGCTGCCCCTCTGGTTGTCGCGAAAATTAATTATCTGAGTTAGGAATGCCTTAAAGCTTTGCTCTTAAATGTTCGAACTTCGCTTGGAGATGGACAAGAGAGAAGTGAAACTTCGCCATTTCACAAATACGACGCCAGGCTGATAAACAACATTCAAAATGGCGGTCTCCTTACTTGACTTTTGAAGACAAATTTCAAAAGGTCCGATTCCTCTCTGGTCATATTCGTGACTTCATATGTCCTTTCAGTGGTCGAGATAAAAGAGGATATGGTTTCTGGAGAAAATTATCTCTGCTTATACTTGTTTTTTTTCTGCTCCCCTTTTCAGCATACTGGTGCTGGTGGAAGTGGCAGTGGCCAATCGCTTTCCTCCCCCGGATCTTGTCTCAGAACTTTCCGTCACAATCCTTTCTTTGAATGCCATGGTCGTGGTACCTGTCACTATTTCGCTAACAAATACAGCTTCTGGCTGTCCACCGTTGGACAGATGTTCGTTGCGCAGACACCGGAGACCCTAAAACCAGGAAATCTCCTGAGTCGTGTCAGCCGTTGTACGGTGTGTTACCGGGTAGCTAGCAAAAAGAAGAAGCGTCATCGTGCCTTGTACCCCAAAGTATTACCGGAACAGAGGAAACTTTCTTCGGCGTCGCTGAAGCTCCAATCAGCGGCGCAACAGCTGTCGCGGCGGTCGTAGGTAATTATGACGACTTTGACTCGGACCTGACTGTAATCAATATAAAACAAATTGAACTTATATTAGCCTTTTTATTGCTTTGTCACAAATTCTCTTGGTCAAAATAAGCTGTTTGTGACAAAATTGACCGGTTATGTACTTGTTGAAAGCAGTTTAACCAAGTCTTAAACACTCTCAATGGAGTACTGCTGGTCTAATGCAGTGACGGTGCAGATTGGAATAGGAAAAAGCTTGCTAAATGCGAGCAAAACTATTTTACCGTATTTCTTTTTAAACCACCACCCAGTATTATGGATTGCTCTTGTTAAAGCACGTTTCATAGTCATTACAAGAACCCTGACTCACCAGGGACATGCAACGATTGCCCTGATACATAATTGATAGGAAAGGTAACACATTTGCTTTGCGGTTGTGTTTGAGGTTGTTAGTTTGCGAAAAGTGAAAGAGCTTTTTTTTCATTTAAGGCGCCACTAGAAACAGTAGTATTTGCCTTATCTACGGTCTAGTGAAAATATTTTTTGTTGTTTTGTTTTATTTGTTTGACCGTTTTTGAAGCTAATTTACAAAAATCCAATTTAAAAAATGTACAAAAATTGTTCCAAACCTCGATCAGGTTGGCGTCCGAATGTGAGCATTCCCTTTCCACAAACTTTTATTAAAATGAGATCAAAGAAGCCTAGCCGCTGAGTTACATTAACTTCTTTTTTCTTTTTATTTATGTTTAATTTTCATTTGGTAACATAACATAATATCACGTCCACTTTTGTTATGTGGCCAATGTGTTACAAAACTGCAGTGGGGATTGCCTATCCGGCAATTATTAGTCCCCGTATATCAGAATGATTTCTTTACTGTAAGGCTTCCGTCGTTTTTTCTCAGTATTTCGGGACGTGTTTACTATATGAATCCTCGACATTCCCTCAAATGATGGTCGGCTCGGCGATGGTCCACCGACTCTCCATCGATAGTCCACCGACTCTCCATCGATAGCCCGACAATGCCCTGTTCGTCTAATGTCGGTCTAATGTATCCCGAGCTACCGATGGACTATCGACAATGTATCGACTGAGGCGACTTCTAGTGCATTTCTTAAGATCGGCCAGATTATCCCAGAATCCATAATCTCTATACTTTTGAACACAGCCTTGTCTTCCTTGACTTTTTTTTTTTTTTCTTTTTGCTTCGATGAGTGATTAGAACTGTAAGCAAACGCATCGCTGAAAAATTTGAAACTACGAATGCGTTGGTTGAAAAATTTTAGGGGACAAAAAACGCCCGCACGCCAAAGATGACCAGCGGCAGTAAGAATGATGGAATTATTTGCCCTGACTTTTTTTAAAGCTGGGAAATCTTAGGGCATCAAACAAAAGTATTTAGTTTGCAAAAATATTTTTATTTTGTCCAACTATTGGTTAAAAAAAACGAACTCCTTAAACCCTTTTACACCAAAGCATACGAGCGTAAAAGTCGAATAACTGTTTCAAATGTTGCTTACACAACGACATTGAAGACACTAAATACAACAGTTAGGAACGACAGCTCGTTTGCCCCAACTATCATGTCGTACAGGTTCAATTAAAATGTTCCCATGTTCAGTATTAGAAAGTAAAAGGGGAAAGTCGTTTGAAAAATACACCTATTGTTTAGTGTTAGAAATGTATTTTAAGATTTTTTAATTCTCTCTCAAGTAATGGTCGTTGCGATGTCACGCAACACAGCGTTGCGTGACATCTAGACATCGCCGCGCGATTAGGTTGTAATTCGGGGCCTTATAAATTTAGTTTTGTTATAATTCCTAGATAAACTGAATCTTTAATTAGACTGGTAGATCCTAGAAGACTTAATTAGTAATGATAGATATTTTCTTCTAGAATAAGCATAAGGATCCTTCGAATGCATTTACGAACTGTATATTTTAAACTTGTGTTTGCTATCATATTTTTTTTCTTGTAAAATTAAGGTCATAATGTTGATTGCAATTTGGGGTATCGTTAATAAAATTGTTTTGGTGTACTGTGTCAACTGATTGTCCTTTTGTTAAATTTCGTATGAGCTCAGAGTTAACCCTGCCAAAATGGTACTGAGGATGCTTAAGAACGCTTTTCCAACATGATCTAAGGACCAGTCTTATAAATCGCTCGAGCGTCTCGGTGGTTTTGCTTTTTTTTGGAAGCGGGGGGTCACACGGTTTTCAGGGGAAATGGAAGGGGGTTATTCGTGGCTAAAAGAGTATTAGGGGGTGACTACGAAAATTGACTGCCAACGGGGAAAGAGGTCATTAAAATACAACAGAGACTAGGTGGGAGGGGGGTTGGGTAAATTTTATAATTAATAAGGTCTGCAAGGAGGCTAGTGCCAACCCAGACAGAGCTATCCCCAACTCACTCCAATCTTCTTGCGGGCGGAGAAACACTCGTCTTGCCGCACCAATGATGAGGGTTTGCTCACAGGCTTTCTAGGTCCGTTGAAATAGAACTTAGTTAAATAAAATCCACCACCCTCCTGCCATCATGACGAACAAGCTTAGAATAAAAGGATTTTTTTTTTCATGGGGAAAACTGTGTTCTTTGTTTGGACTGTCTTTAAAATTCAAATTTGGAATGTTTAACGACTCCATTACAATGTTTTTAAAGAAGGTTACCTGGAAGTTTCAAAATACATATGCAGACTAGATTAGAAGCAATTTGGGATAGGGATAACCCTAGGCAGCAAAGATAATTGTATCTCTCCTACTGGCATAGCTAGTCTGGAAACAGATTTGTTTCTTCTTGCCTGCTTACTGACATGGCTAATCATTAAATGCAATGCAACAGAGAAGCTATTTGTGACTTTAATTCATTCCATTGAGGAGAAAAATGAGGGTAAAAAATTCTTGAATCAATTTCAGTGTCTGGGCAACTGTGTACTAACCCCTCCTGTAACCGAACACAGTCAACTGATAACATGTTAGGGTCAACATTGGGCTAGGGGAGGGGAGGGGTACCTGCACAGTTGCTCAGATCCAAGTTTTGTATTATTATACATTTAACATTAAGTCGATGACAGTCAGTGCTTGTGTGCATACACAAATGAAAACATGAATGTTTCAATAAGCTGGCAGATGTTTGAACTTTGTATTTTAAGCAATGTTACAAGCTTACATGTTATCACAGAATTTTTAAACCTACAACTGCACACTACTACAAAATTGTCATTTATGGATGCAATGAAGAAACAGCAAAACTATGCAGGGCTTAGTTTAGAAACTGAATAACACCTATCCTTCATATAAGTTTTCAGTGGATACTTTAAATATGAAATTAAATTAGTAGCAAAATGCTTGATTTGCACAGCAAACCAAATTTCCAGGCTCCACATTCAGAGTGAAGTTTTATTGTTTCAGAAATATGTACAATTCCATATATATTATATATAAAATATATTTTATTAACTAGACAATTCTGGTACAGTTACATCACTTCAGCACTATGCAATCTATGGGTTTCAATAACTTTTTCCATAAGCAGTTGCTGATGGCTACGACCAAAGCGGGACCATAAGGCAAAACACAAACATGAGACCCAGCTAGCAAGCTAACCAGATGGTGGTGAGTGGTCTTATAGGCTGCATTAGACCCCAGCTGGTAAATATATCTTATTAACCAAGCGTGAGGGCCGTATTGGGAGAAAATCGGCCTGAGGTTTTGACAGTATGGACCTCGCTGTGCTCGGTCCGTACAAAAAAGACTGAGGGCCGATTTTCTTCCAGTATGGTCCCGAGCAAGCTTGGTCAATAAGAGATTTATTATACGACTGAAGTTCAAAGGGACACAAGTGTGGTACCATTCGGGACCATTCGGGACAGTGCCTGGTCCAATAATTAGAGAATATAGGACTGGCAATAGAGCATTTTGATTGGTTGATTTTAGTTATTGGCCCTCTGACTGCCCGAGTCGTGTAATAATATACTTTTAGTGAAACCCCTGCTCCAGTCACAATAAAACCCTGCATTGTCCTTTACATCTGCATTGGTGTAAAATTCTTAACCGTGCAAGTGCACTGTAGAGTCTTTTACTTTACTTCACCTACTTTAACTGCTGCACCATATAAAGAAGACTTACATCCCATCTGTTCACCATTAAAAATCATTATATTGGTAAATCTGTTTTATAATACATAAGTTAAAGAAATTAATCCCAATTGAATTAATAATGTCTTTTCAAAATTAAGCAATAAAAGCAAATGAAGTGCAGCGACGACAAAATCATTTATCTTGATGTTAATTTCTGTTAGCTACTACTCTTACTGTTTGCTTGTGTGAGTGGAAATAAATAAAGCTTAGGAAGATTTTAAATTCTTTGTTATAATAATATTAAAGATATAAATTATTCTCTTACATAATTTGAAAAATGGCACAAACTATGTTTCCATCTCCTTTGGCTCTAGCCAGGAAGGTTGTTTCACCAATCAAGACAAACTTTTCTCTGCACTTAGGCCCATTTCTTAGTGTACCTTGATTTTTAAGCAAGAGAAGAAGAATCAAAACAACAGCAATACTGTATTTCAGAGCTAAAGAATTCTTAACATAAAATTTGTTTAATGCCTGTGGGGACATCCAATGTGGAATAAATAAAAACAATAAAATGACAAAATGAGGAATATGATATTTTGCTTTACATAATACTCACGTATTCATGCTCATTTACATGAATATTTACATCTCTTGTTTTAGTGCAATAGTGTACAAGCCTTTTAAACTTTTAGACTAGAGCAGGGCTTGACACTAACAGTAGAAATTCAGTTTTGGCTAGTGGTTTTCGATTTCCACTGACCAGTTTGGCAAGTACACAAACTGATTTTGTTGTGACATCTAAGTTGTCACTAGCCACTTGGCTAGTAAGTTGAAAAGTTAGTGTCAAGCCCTGCTAGAGTATGAATATTTCTTGCCAGAGGGCTTGGTCACATATCTTCCCTTTCATAAACATAGGAGCTTTGTCTCCAAATTTGAGTCTAGTTATAAAAATATTGGTGCCAACATTGGTCTTGGTCCCTATTATACATGTTTAGTAAAGAGTAGCATTAGCCAAGTTCATAGCAACTGTCACACTGTTTCAAAAGTAATTTTCTTCTTAAAATCAATACTTAATTTAGAGTCTTAATTCATGCAGTATTGTGATTGTCTCATAAAATATTATTACTTCAGGAAAAATTTCTCACAGTGCTACCAGCTACATAGTTATAGTATGCAATGGCTACCAATCCACAAATCCTAAAAAAAAATTTACAGAACAATATTTTTCATGGAGGAAAGTAATCTAATCAGAAAATCTAGAGTCAATATTATCTACCATCATTACTTTTAGGGATTGATGATGAGTTATTGGGTGATACTGTTCTTGGGGTTACTGTCAGTAGTAACTGTAGATTGCACAGGCAGCCCAAGCTCACTACTAGAAAAGTGGACGTGGTAAGTCGCGTTCGCTTTTCTAGTAGTGAGCTTGGGCTTCCTGTGTAGATTGAGGTAGTTTTGTGTTCTGCTTGCATTTCTCCCTTGGATCAAAATAATTTAATTGACAATGCTTATCATCCGACGTTGCCTTCATTCAATTCTGTTGGAAGAAAATAAAAACACTTGTCACTAACAGTAACAGTGCATAATAAACAATGAACCAAAACATACATGTAAATTAAACTGTTTATTTTGAGATATTTGAATAATTCAGAACACAATGAATGTTCTTGAACCTTCCCAGTTACAAACTACTCTCAGTGGCAAAAGAGAATTTCACTCTCTGACAGGAAGAGGTAACATGAACCAAACACAAAGTTTCACCCATGTCGCAACATGAGGGCTGAATATCACCTGGGAAGGGTGACAAACTCAAAACAAGCCCCATGAGGATAAATTTGGTTGAAAGGGGTGCTATTATCAAGCTACAGTGTGGAGTTAAATAAAATGATGGGGCAGTTTTCTGCCATCAACATGTTAAAAGCATCTCATGGTAAGTTGAAGAGTTTTAGTCAAAGTTGATTAATTCAAAGCTTTTACGTATAACACTCCATCAGTTGTTCATTATGGTGGAGCCAGGTGAAAGGTGGGAGGCTCCCTGCCATTGAAAAGTAACAGGCATGGAAGGAGTTTCTCAATGTCCGCTAGTATTTAAGCAAAACACTTTTTTCGGTTGTTACTTGTCAGTGAACAATCTCTAAGGGATGTAGTATTTTACTTAAGGTGAATAATGGGGAGAAGCAGTGGTGAATTGTTTAGTTCTCCTGACTCTAGATTACAAGGTTCTAGTTCCCACCCTGACCACGTCATTTTCGTGGTCTTACAATGTAGTTTCACTTTAGACTCTAAGGGGTTACCTCATAGAATAACCCTTTTAAACATCTCTGTCCAAACTTTTTTAGACTCGTACTTTAGAGATGTAGTTTCACTTTAGACTCTAAGGGGTTACCTCATAGAATAACCCTTTTAAACATCTCTGTCCAAACTTTTTTAGACTCGTACTTTAGAGATGTAGTTTCACTTTAGACTCTAAGGGGTTACCTCATAGAATAACCATTTTAAACATCTCTGTCCAAAATTTTTTTTAAAACATCCACAGGGAGAATACTTAAACTTCAAGGCTGTGCTCTAAGAAAAATTGAAGGGAGCCCAATGCTCTGAAACTGTGAAATCCAGGGTGTGCCCAGTATATGCTTTTTTATGAAAAAAGTAAGATTCCTGAGTCACTCAAGAGCAAAAGTAAGGTGCCAGGGGCCACCGGGCACTGCTAGATCACAGCCCTGAACTTAGACTCCCTAGGAGCATGATCATTCTCCTTTATAAACACATTAGGGACCTTAAGCAACCACAATGGCAACGAGGACATGGAAAAACAAGAGATCTTATTGGCAGAACAATAGCTCAGCACGTGCATTTTGAAACTGTGTACATTTCTTAGCCGTCCTATGCAAAACAACAACATGAAATCGCCAAAATTTGCGTCGTCTGCCAACCGAAACCGCGACGGCAAATTATTTTAATTTCCATTTGGAACTCAACGCTGCTTTTATACGTCATGCTGAAGTTGAGCTGAGGTGTCATATGAGACAGTAAGCTCATGCAGCCATTCTTAAAATTCTAACTAAGAGTAGAAATTCATTTTTTAATCGAAGTCTTCCTTGGCGTTGCTGTCCTGACTGCTTAAGGTCCCTAGTGTGTGATACAAACCTTCAGCATTATTGCAGTTAAAAGCAGAATATCCAATTTGTACCCAGTCTTTATCGTTTGGTGGGTTTGGTGGAAGATAAGGGCACCTCCGCAACACAGTCTCACAAAACTCTAAACATTGCTTTCTCGGATGGGTCTTGTAATCAGCTTCCATTTCAGCAATAGCTTCAGAAATTTTTGTGTAGCAAATCCAGTTCTTATAGGCTTCCTGTGGGAATAATGGTCAAATAATAACTGTGTTAATGTGAACTACTGCTCTAGTTTTAAACACTATTTAATTCTTTTTATACAGCTTTTCATGCATTGCAGTTAAACAGTTTTGAATGGCTTTTTATCTCTAACATTGCCAATTAAATTTTATGGAACTTTCCAGTATAGTCTAACATTGTACTTCGTAAAATTTTAATCACAAAAAATCTTGCACAAAAATCTTGCACCATAATTAAAATAGATACGTTAGTTCAAATGCATTTCTTCCACAATCCATGTACTTCTTCTTGACGTGGATCACTCATCAAAATGAAAAGAAAAATATTCAGATTTCTTCTTAAGGTGAGACAAACAGTTGTATTTGACAATCAGAGACTATTCCACTGTGCATGGCATGACAGAAGTCTGCAATGGGACAGTACAAATTGTGGACCCCCCTTCTGGACCCCCTAACTAGATAAAGAAAGGATGAAAACAATAAATACCTGGTGCAACTTAGGAGGTCATCATCAAGTGGCATTTCATCATGATACTACAATCATTTGCCTAATAGAAATGTTAATTCTCCCACGTGCTATCGTGGGTGCCATTTTGTTTATAAGTTAGAGTGGGGACCTCGGCACAAGGCTACAAAACTTCCGGTATTTCCTCTGATCGGCTACTCTGATCAGATTTTTTCTGACATTTTGATTGCATCATCTCATGTCCTTGCCTACCACCGCTGACCAAAAAAATTGTGGTCATCCATACACAGAGTTCTATGGTGGAATGTTGAAGGTAGGTGTGTAATTTTTGCACATTCGTATGCAATCTTGACATTCCTGAAGCCATCGATAAACAATCACAACATTTTCTTGCCAAACAATCACACACCTTAACTTCCAGCATTCCACCACAGAGCTCCGTGTTTGGTGACCACAATTTTTTTTGGTCAGTGGTGGTAGCCAAAGACATGAGATGATGCAATCAAAATGGCAGAATAATCTGATCAGTTGATTGGAGGAAAAGAAAGAATTAACATTTCAAGTGGCACTTTTTGAAGATTCAGGCAAATGTTTGTAGCATGAAATGCCACTTTGATGACAACCTCTCAAGTTGCACCAGGTATTTAATGTTATCATCCTTTCTTAATCTAGTTAAGGGGATCCAGAGGGGGTCCAGAAGGGGGTCCAGGAGGAGATCCAGAAGAGGGCTCCACATTTTGTACCATCCTGTCTGGAATTGCTGTTGGGCATTCCCATCCTACAATTATCAAAAAATTGGCCCACCTATTTTCTTAAACCTTGAACCCCAAAGAGTAATAAGCACCTTAAGTGTAATTTCTTTGCAAAGTATCGGCCATGAATCAAGCATCAAGATCACAAAAACAAAGGAAATGATCACAAACTCAGGGTACTCTTAGCTCTTCAACTCCCAGGAGTGTTGAATGTGTAACTTCTCCCTATATCATCTAAACATTATCTAGCAGACAGGTAATGAGAATACTCCAACTTATCAGGTAGAAGCTGTTACCTTGATCTAACATCAATTTTTGTAACTAATTTTACAAGGAAACATATGGCAGCTTGAGAGAAGAGTTAACAATCAGATCTTGGAAGCTAAAGGGTTAATTGTTCGACGAATTCCCCTTGTAAATACCATACAAAATATACCAAGAACAGAATGGAGAACTTGTATACTGATGCTAGGGTGTAAAAAGTTAATCAATAGACTCATTGTGATAAAAGCTGAAGTCTGTGTTTGAAATCCTACAGTATGTGACCCTGAAGAAAAGAGAAGCACCAAGAAAGGTGACCTTTTAAACAAAAACACTGTCTTTTAATTCTTATTCCATCTGTTGACTGTTGACATATATCTTCTGACCAAATTGTCTAATAGAACCATTATTCTGTGGATAATGATTCACTTGAAATAGCTTATATGTGCACCGACAAAGAGAAAATATATAAACATTCATATTATACATAAAATTATTTAGTCTAATTATTATCATCATTATGAAAAAGCGGTATTTTCACTTTCTACAGTTTGAAATAATTTTTTGTATTCTGCTTATATTTCTCAACTTTAAATAAGACTTTCTTGCATTACTATTAAAGAAATGGAACAAGTTCCCTGAGGGTTGAATAATACATAATTTATAGCCCACCAATGAAATAAAAGGCTGAACATTATTTTAATCAAGTCAAAACAGATGTTTTAAGTCTTTGCCCTTAAACCTCTTGACGCCATTAAAAGATGCACACAACCTCCTTACTGATAGACGAGTATAATATTAAGTGCACAGGCTCTATATGACAATAAGAACCACTAGGATAACAATGGTTTCAAATTTTCACTGTCTGATGGCTGAATTTTTAGACTAGAAGGGCAGCTTTGTTTTTTAGAATAACAAGCTGTTGCAATTTTATTTTGGTATTATTATTCCAACTGTCTTTTTCTCCAAGGGTTCTTATGTACTTGTACATGGAAATTTAATGGGTACAATGCATACCCAGCACAAACATGTTGATTTCAATTTATTACACCGACAGCAGAGCTTGATAGAATTCTCTGCAAAGCTCGGGATAAATTTAGAGAAAGATATACAAAAAAATTAATCATTTATTGTAATTGTACATTAACTAAAATAACAAGTACAGAAAGTTGAGAATATTGACACTATACACAATTAATTTTGAGAGTATTAAAATTTTTTATCCTGGAAGGCCATAAAATTTGATCTTTGTTGAGATAAGATTACCATCCCATAATCATTAGCATAAAATATTAGTTTTTTTTTACTGAATCAGAAAAGGGAAAAAAATTTAAATTGAAAGGTTTACTTGAGAAATAAAATTTGTGATCTATTGCTCCCTAAACTAGCGAATTAAAATCACAATTTTTTACACAAAAGATGACTGATAAATTCTAATCTTTTTTTTTTTAATTGTAGAAGGCAGGTGAAGAGAAAAGTAAATTGCGACTTCACTAGTTTAAATGTAGTGGGTGGCTTTAAAGTGGTTTAAGGTTTAAATCTAGTGAATTTAAAGAGGTTTAAATCTTTGAATGGAGTAATCAATTTTGCACATGATGGATGCAAAAATTTTAAATACAGTACTTAAATGTAATACAAAACTTATGTAAATTAAGAAGACTATGACCAAATGGACAGCACAAATGTTGTGCATGTATTTCACAATCAAAATTCTCTCAAATTACAAATATACTGAATAAAAGTATATACTGTGACTTATGTAAATCTATGAATTCATCCTTGTAAATTTGTTATTTTTTTCTTCTTTTTTCCAGATATTCAGATTTTGTTTCGCCTTACTTCAGGAGAATTTGGTGATAACTTAATTCCATAAATAACAGCATCTCTGTTCCATTTACTAGATGTCAAGAAGAAAGTGGCTCTTCGTCGCTTCATCCTATTAAAAAATTTTGTTTGACAGCTAGTCTCTAATTGTTCCACAAATACAGAAGATTTGCATACCACTACTTGATCTTAGTTACAAATATTATCAAGAGTTTCTGCAAAAAAAATTATTTCGATCCTTATTTAAGAAAAATCGATTACGTTCGAAAACACTGGAGCTACGCTGAAAATTTCAAACATCGTAATTTTGATTGCTCCTCAAATCCAAACAAAGATATGAACGCCAGAAGACAGAATGCAAACACAACATTGTTGCTTCTTCAAATACAACCTACATGCGTTTGCGTTCCTGCTCGTAAGAATTGACGCACGCACAACACTTTAAACATTGTACTTCACCTGATAGCTGGCGTGCAAATCGAAAAAAAAAAGGAGAAACATTTTTAGCCAAGTGTCCTAAAAATAGTTTAAGTTGATCAAACATTTACCCAAGAATAATTTTTAGCGAGGACATCAAACACAGAGATAAAATATTTTGCTGTACAACAAAAGAGCGCTCTTAACAGCAGGGTGTAATGGTCCCGCGTATTTTGCATTCTCCAATAGCCATATTTTTTATGGAAATAACCTATCTTTAAGAACTGCGCTGTGCATCTGTTTGCCGTTGAAGAGGAGCGAATTTATTAACACGGATATTTTTTATTGTTTGTGAAGACCTTGCGGTTGAACAAAGACGGCAGACAATGTGAAGGTTAAAACAGTATTAGAAGCGATAGCACTTGGAGATTGTTGATGCTGTTAAATAGTCTTTAGGCCGCGTTTGTGACATTTCTTTAATCCTATTCTATTCAAGAGCGCTCATGGGGAATGTTGTCTTCTACTGTGAGACGAGGAAGCCATATCAATTCATATCAGCTGCGCGGTTAAAACTGCGCGAACGATCGAGTCACGAACGAAGATAATAGTTCATGGAAAAAAACCTAAATTATCGTGCCTATAATGTGGTCAATTATAAGCCTTTTCAATATGAAATGTAATGAATGTGATTTTGCCGTTGTTTGGCCTAAATACACCGAGGAAAAACGATTTTCCGGAACAATTAAATTATGTATTTACTCTCCTCATTTTGTCGTATTTTACCTGACGCAAAAACAGCTCCGAATAAGAATGCGACGTGATTTGAAGCAGCAGGGAAGTTTGGAATTTCCTTTCCACCTGCTTGTGAGTTTACGAATAAACGAGGTAAAAAAGCAAATGTACAAATAGAACCCTTTCCGTTTTAATTCGTTTTAACTCCATTCACAGAACTCAAACGTCTTTAACAGGTAGGAGCGTGCCTAAATTATCGAGCCGAAAGAGGACGTCACAAACGAAGCTCGCAGTGATTTTTCACGCTCTGTTCATCATCAAAACAACTGAATGATAACAAAACTGATAAACAAAGGCTGAGTTCCGCTGTTCTTTCTTATTTCTTAAAAGAGAATTTAATTAATTCAAGGAGTGAAAAAAAAAAAATCCTTTTCAATCGCCGTAAACTAATGGCCCCCGTGCGACTAAAGGGATTTGACGTTATTTTCACGTTGTAGTTTACAACCGGCGTTATCAAGCACAGTGAAATTCAGTATAAACGGTCGCTAAGTTTCTAGAGTAATTTAGCCTATAGAGCATACAGTGAACCACGACAAATATACAAAGAACTGCAATCATTTAGCGTTTGTGTCCTTCATTAAAAGAACATAATGTAAATTTGTTCGTTTAAATTACCTACCAGACAGCCGCGGCATGTTGATGCTGCTGAGTATGTGTGCGTTTCCCAATTTTCTCCACAATCGATACGCTGTATTATTCCTTCAAAATTATTGTAGTTTCTTTCAGCCTCGTTGTCCTTCTGTTGTATTAAGCTTATGTTTGGCCACTCTTGGCAAATAGTTCTATTCTTCAAAACTACATTCAAATGTGAACAAAATTCCAAGCGGTGCGAGGCATCTTCCGCGCGGTTCATGCAGTTAACACGAATACAAGCTGCTTCAGTCCAGCATTTCTTAGAGGTGTTTAGTGGCATTCCACAACTGCGATTCTTGCTATCGATCTCTCCGTCAACACCCGATATTGCAGTCCGAGTGAAGGGCATTAACAAAACAAGGAGACACAACGAAACAGGGAACCGAATTACGAGTTCCTTGCAGTAAAACGACTGTCGACGGCTTCTACTCCATGCCAAGGGGACTCCCACTTCTGTTGCCCGCATAAGCGCTCAGACACATTGAGAATTGACCACGTTGATGAAGATTCAAACGGAGCCGCAAAACGTCTTGAAACCTTGCGAGAATCATGCGAGGTCGAAATAATGGGTCGTGGTCTTTTTGAACCAGGCACTGTGAATGCGCGAGAAAATTCGAATCGAACACAGCCTCGATTTGTGACGGAACATTCAATGAAATCTTTGGTATTTGGACACGGCTGTTACTCTCGTATTTAGCGTCCAAGACATCTTCATAAAGCTCTCTGCTGGTGACAACTGACTCCAATTCAAAAATTTGTAAACAAGTCTGTTAGTATAAACGGAAATGAGCAGCCAATTTTTCCCTCTGAGAAAGAGACAAACAACGCATGTGCCGTGACAGTTGTCACTGGTTGTCCCTTGAGTATTGGGAAATATTTGGATATTTTTAACTCATCTAACAAGATTCGTCATACATGAAATATCCGGAAAGACGCGCCGATACATCCAACAATACACCATTTCAAAGCAAGGGAAAAAAGGAAGGTGTTCAAAAGATAACAAAATGTTTTCCTTAACAATAAAAGAGACCAAGAAAATTCGATTTTTATTGGTATAGGTTGTCGACTAGTACGTAGCCTTGAACATTCCACACTGAATAAGCAATTGTTACCTTGTACTTAATCGTCGTTTCTCAGTTATTTGAACGGTTTCGCTCTTTTCTATTCATGTGTCTCTCAAATCTGCGGATAATCATCTTTCCCCCTTTATTTTTTCTTCACCTTTTCCGAGGCCTGAAGTTTTTCAAAGAAAACAAATTCAATATTTGTTATCGTTCGTCCAGGCAATTGATACTTAGACTGTTCTAGATTCAAAACTCATTTTTGGAATACCAACTTTAACTGCCTCCCCCGCTGCTTATCGTTACGATAAGGTGGTACCATAGCAATAATAGATTCAAGAAGTTTTTGATATTTTGTTTCGGAGTGGGACTGATCCAATATTTTTAAGAGTATACTTTCGAGTGCTTTCGCTCAGTTTCCAAGGATCTCGGTTGGTAACTGGCATTTTAATAACAATAGTAGATTGACTTGGGGAAGACAAAGCCTTCGCTAAATGTTTCTGATTCAGTCTGGCTTATTGTAAAATTTTACAAATGCTGCACTGTGATGTCAACCAACTCTGATGAAAGAGTTTTAAAATTGGAGGTCATTGCAGTGGAAAGGAATTTTTTTTTCTACGTTCGCAAAAAAATTTAATAAATACAAAATTCCATGATTATAATCAACGAGCCACCTAAATTCTGTTGGATTTTAAATTCAGTTGTTCAAAAAAGTGGTAGCCTCGAAAGTCGCCTCTGGAAACGGTTCGGCCAATTTGCATACTATCGGCTGCCAAAGCAAATTCTTTTTATTCTCACTGTACTTAAAAAACATCCATATCTACGTTGTCTTAATTTAATAATACCATAAGGCACCACCACAAATCAAATGTTTAAATACTTAAACCCTAAGATTTTAATTTTTAACAACTATTCTATTTGGTTTTCGTTTCTGCCTAACATAGGTTTTTAATTTTCAGTAGCTATTCATAAACTTATTGAGCCATTGGAACGGGAGACTAGGCAACTGGAACGGGAAGCGGATCTTAACCAACGGAGTCAGAGTTGTAAGTTATTCATAATCAGCCGAGCCTCAGTCCAAAAAAAACGTTAGTCGTCACAGTCCAATCTGTTTTACATGTAAACATCTAAACAGGACATCACACCCCACTTCTGATTTTCTATAAATCAGTGAAGCTTTGTATGATAAATATTTTTCTTGAAAGAAATTGCCTGAGGTCTAGAATTGCCGGAAAGTGTTCGTGTTCTTGTTGTAGAAAAGAACCCAATGAGATACTATACCCGAGCAAACCACAAATAAAATCTTGGTCTACTGATCGAGCTCAAATGTGATTAAGAAGTCACATAATCCGGGCTCGCTAAATCGCGTTTTCGTCAACTTTGTATAAAAAATGGTAATAGGACAGAGTGGAGTCCAATTCGTCTGTAATTATGAGAGTGATAAACCGAATCGGACGACCACGAATTATGAATTAATTATTAATTAATTATTAATTAATTATTAATTAATTATTAATTAATTATGAATTAATTATGAGAGTGATAAACCGAATCGGACGACCTCGAAGTAGGAGTCTGACATATCAATCACAAGTGTGATTACAGACCGAATTAGACGGCACGAAGTCCTGTTTCCAGTTTCTGATAATATTAATAATAATAATAATAATAATAATAGTAATAATCATCATGATCATTATTATTGTTATTATTGTTATTATTATTATCATTATTATAACAAAATTTCATTTATATGGTGCATACATCCACTGCTTGTTAAAGGCGCTTTACAAAATTATCCCTACAACCATTATAACCATAACCAAAATATATTCATTTCAAAAGGGCTAGTAATTCAAACACTTAATCATTACAATCTTTGACAGATGCAAACTGAAAAGCTCTAGAAACAGCCTCTTACATTCAGCAAAATCCGCAGCTTGGGATGGTATGCCATAACCATGGTAACTGTAAATCAATTCAATGATTAGTCGTTTCATCTGAGCACACTAAAAGTGATTCGCTGACGTAAACGTCCGATTACACGTGTCGGATTTCAATCAGCTGTTTGATTGCAACTCTACAGAATTGTTAGTGAAAAATAAAGTAGTTCATCCATTTCTTGTATCAATTTCGAAATCACTGATGGTCTTTGCTCTCTGATTGGCTCTCATCGGCGCGATTTATTCACGAATTGCGCCACTTTTTGCTCTAAATCGCATCTTTTTCCCAACCAAGGAAAAAGCTTCACCAAAACACAAAAACCAATCAGATTTCAAGGTCTATTTCAAGTGACAAATCAAATTGCAGGAAAGTGAAAGACAATCTTCCGAACTTGTTACAAACCAGCTCAATCTGAACCAATAAAATAATTGTAGAGACCAAAGACCACCAGACAAATCTTATATTCGAGTGACTGAATTTAGCGATTTAAAATTTGTTAATCGGATATAATAAAGTGGTCAATGAACTTTGCGTTATGCAATTTTGGTCTGAAATCATGCTTATTATGTCAAATCTAACTAGCGCTCCGAGGTCGCTTGATTTTGAAATCACGCGTATGTTTCGGACCAAATTGTACTCCACTCAGTTCAATTACTGTTGTGAATTACCATTATTAATCGCATTCAAGCAAAAGTGCTATTCGATGGAGTGTCGCAAAACCACCAAAAACAAAGTAATCACAACAGCCAATCGGAAGAGAGGAAAATACCCAATGAACTCAAAGTAAAAACAACTGAACCGCCTAAAGCGCGGGAAAACGCTGGCGTCCAAGTCGTGAGTGGTTTCAATTTTGCATCTGATTGGTTAAGAGAGTGGCTCGAGTTTTCTGGGCCAATCACAGAGCAGCAAAGTAAAACAAACCACTGCAATCTCGGATTGCTTTCGACAACCAACTGAAAATTGCTTTCAATCGTGATATGTTTACAACTATCTTTAAACTGGAAAAGAGAACCGCCGCCCAGTTAGCGCAATGGATAGTGCGCTGGACTGTTGTGCAGGAGGTCGAGGGTTCGAGCCCCGGCTCGACCAACACTCAAGGTCTTAAAATAATTGAGAACAATTTTCTACCTTTCTATAACATCAAGAAATGGCTAGATATTCTAGTCTTCTCGTACAGGGACGAATAAATTTAGGTCCCGTCTCCTGCAGGGTTGGGGCAGGAGACGTTAATTTCCCACACACGAGATTACTGTGTGATGGATGTCCTCCCCTGGGGTGGGATGGTGGGTTTGTATTGTTGTGAAGGCCGTAAGTTAGATAACTCACGTCACCTTCATTCAATCCGTGGGTTTCACCCACGTGACCAATACCTTAGCAACGGTTACTATCCGCCATCTTGGTGTCCCTTGAGCATAAACAAACCGTATCTAACGAAGAGTTCATGTGAGAAAGAAGGGATGGTTTTATGCATTGTTGTTGGCTGTTCGAGCACAAGTGGAAAGCATAAAGACTAAAGATTTTTTCGTATAATAATTTAATAATTTTATTATTTCTATAGCGCAAAATTCATTGGATATATGATCTAATGCGCTATACCTAAGATCATTACAAATCAAGGGGAAGAACAGGAGGAACTAGAAGTTTTTGTATGGTTCGAGGCTTGCAGCTGTTGTAGATCCTCGATTTTTTGGTCGAGCTTTTCTTTGAGCTTCTTAGCCGATGAGAAATCGATGCCTTTAGCCCTCGCATACGGCACTTCATTGACATATGACCCTAGCTGCCTTGTAAACACGTCGATGAAAAAAAAAAAAAGAAATGTGGGAACATTAGGGTAACCCTCCTGCCAGGGTAACCCTAGCACTAGGGTTACCCTACCTGCTTGTAAACAGGGCCCTAGAACAGACATGTATGTGAGCACCAGCAGGAAAACTGGCAAACTTTCTCGAAACCACAAAAGGTTTGTCAGTTTACTAATCCAAACGCGGCATCTATCTCTTGATAGCCACCAAGCTGGTCTCTTAACAACACAGGTCCTGTTGAGATTTCCGTTTCATCCGCGCACACCTGCCAATATTAAAAATACACTGTGAGGCTTTCAATTCGCTAAACAGCTAAATTTTTTTAATTGGTAAGCCAGCGTTCAGCATGAGGAAATTGTAAGGCAAATTGACTGTATTATTTGTTTGATAATGCTATCGTTTGATAGTAATGCTGCAAATATGTGTAAGACCAAATGCATTCCAAAATGGCGGTAAGGAGGAAATTGGAACATCCAAATGGCTTGCATTTGGTTCAAATTTTCGTAAGCTTTGATTTTTCGTTAACGGCTTCTTTTGCTAGTTGTAAATAAATGTACGCCTACTTAACATACATACTCTCCGCTTATTGGAAGCCCAACCTCGTTCCCAGGGCCTGAGGAAAAAGGGAAAAGGCCCTGAGAACGAGGTTGTTGGAAGCTGCATGGCACAAATCAATGTGAGTAAAATTAGCAACAAAGGATGACCTGTAACTGCGTGAATGGTTCAGAGTTAAAAGATGGAATGGAATGATATAGGAAGGACTATCTTGTGCGGAGTAAGGCAGACTTAGAGACTGGTCTTTATTTATTACCAGGGGTGGGTGGTGGCGGGGGGGGAGACCTCGTAGGATTTTGGTTATGTCACGTTTAAATGTACCCTATCTCCCAATAAGGCGTTCTGTAATGTTCATATCATTCCCCCCATATGCAGTTGACTGGTAGTCAATTTTCCACAGTGCCCCATTCACATTCTGTTAACTTCCACTGATTCCCCTCTCCTCTCCGTTCCCCCTACAAATCATTTGATCCCGCCCCAAAACAAAACAAAACAAACAATAAATGAATAAATAAATCCTCCGATCCCCATTAATGCGATGGATAATAAATGCTCCCTTTCTACAGGGTTCAGATTTTCAGTTCTTGTGTACTATTGGTACCTTCTCATAAATATGTTCTCATATTGTTCATTGTCAGTGCAGGGAGATGACAAAACGTGGAGCCCTTCTCCATTGAGTACCCTATGGAGTACCCCTAACAGTCATGTACTGGTCAAATAAAATACTTTATGAACATGGTGAATCGTTTAGATGTACATATGCTGATAGATATTGAGCTTGTCAGCTCTCCGACTATCGCAGTTCGATGTAGTACACGAATTGACCGCCATCTTGAAATTAACATTAAACTGCTGACCACTTCCAACGGAAAGCTTTAAGGTCAGCACACACGAGGGGACTAGTCCCTGCGACTAGTCCGTGCGACTAGTCCCGGCGACAAGTCTTTGAAGGGTTTACACGAGGGGACCGGTAGCAGGGACTAGTCCCTTAAGGCGTTCACACGAGGGCACTCAATTGCACAAGAACATAGGAAAATTAAGAGGCAAAAGATGTNATGTTGCTAGCATCCATGAACGTTATCGTTAATAGGCCGACTACCATCTATTTTCATATGATCTTCAAGAGGCCAAAAGGAGGGACAACCTTCATTCTGCAATGGGTTTTACGTCTTCCAAATACTTGTTTATGTGTGGCGTCTGTAAGAAGTGTGGCGCTCCATCTAGTAACACATGGCTTCGTGGGTTTCTTAAATGTGCGAAACGATGAGGATACAAGCTTAAATTTGTAGGTTGAGACTTAAAAAGGTAATCCCTATCTTTAAACTGAGCTTCTCCTCACCCATCTATTTGTAGCGCAATAAAATTGAGGTATGTAAACAAACCAAAAAAAAACAGTGACGGGTCGGCAAATAAATCCGACTGGCATGGGGTTGTTGATCTGGAGAATGCAGTAAGCTTAAATCTTTTACCTCGTGCAGATATCGAAACAGTGGGTTTTGTTCATCGCATGGAGCTGTTTGTCTTCTCGTCAAAGGACTTATTACACAGCTGTAAAACCAAAATGGAGGAACCAACTCATGAGAGCCCTAGTCAACTGTCCCCCAAAAAACTGGATTGTATCGAACTGTGACATTCAGAGAGCTGGTGAGCTCAATATATTTTAGGATATGTACATCTAAACGATTCACCATGTTCATAAAATATTTTATTTGACCAATACATGAATTTAAGGGGTACTCGTACTCCATTAAGGTACTCCATAGGGTACTCCATAGAGTAGGGCTCCGCGTTTTGTCATATCCCGTCATTGTATGAAAGCATTTTTACCCTTCCGATTATCGATTTTGTCTTACCTTTGGAAGTTTTTGTTCCTTAAACATCTTTTCAAAAAAGAACTTCGTGAAACTGGCACGGAACGCTGCGTTGAGTAAAAGAAGCAAGCTGTCCCAGTCACGCGTTCCTTCCACTCTCCCACCCTTCAACAGCGAGATGCTCATGGACACAAGGGCCGTGTCGTACAAAAACAAACCGAGATTTCTGAAGAAGTATGCTCCAAGGACGAGTCGGAAAAGTGGCATGAATACACGTTGCGTGTTTGTCTGCTCCGAGAATCGAGATTCGATCCATCTCACGTACGTTTCGTGGGAAATGAAGTTGATGGCACTCGCCAGGAACGTGAGAAGAAGCATTTCGATGATCTGTGCGATTGCCATCGCATTGACGTTTCCCGTACTGTCTGTGCCGTGAATGATATTCACGTATAGAGTCGAAAGAGCGAAGGTGATGCAAAAAACGCACCAAACCCAGAAGTGTCCAATACGAATCACTGCACAAATATACCTCCACACTTTAAATGTTTTCCAAAATACAATTATCGAAAGGAGCAAAAGGGAGTTACCATCTTCTAGCAGCGCCCCTACTGTGTCTACTGTGTTGCTGATCTCTTGCCGACCAAGTATGTTGTTCGTTTGGTTTCGAACGTTACAGTTTTCTGTTGGAGTTGAATAGTAAAGGCACACCGCAGCCGTAGCGAAATTTAAAAGGTTAAGGATAAACCTCGAAACCACCAAGAATATCTGAAAATAGCCCAAGATCCGGAGCATCATAAAAAATATCAAAATATACCGCCTCAGTATAGCAAATTTCGATTGCCGCTCACTTATCAAAGAAGTTTCCGCTTCTCAATTCCCGGAACCAGTCCCCAGTCGTTAGGGGAGGGGAAAGGCTGCTGAGGCTGTGATGTCTGTATAACAGGGGAGGGGGTAAGGGGAGGATCCAGGCTTCTTATTTACGAAAGCTTCTCTGCTTACAACAACAACTAAACAAAGAATTAATACTACACAATACGACCAACGTTGACTTGCAACATAGTCTGGTATGTTACAGAGGAAAAAAAAAATAATAATAGCGTGGGGGGAGGGCTGAACGCAATTAAAACCTTACACACGAAACCGAACCCTCTTATGAATTCTGACGAGTCTGTCTTCATTTTCATTTTCCCAGAAGCTTGGCCTGGATTTGCTCATCATTTCTTGCATACTTTCCTCGTAGATTTCGGTCTTTGAGGTAGAACTGGGTGCCATTCCGCCAACGATTGCGACTGGAGATGCGCGACCGTGTACTATCATTCAGCTCTGTTAGATAACAGGAATGTAATATCTAGTTACCCGAACAAAAAACGATTTGGTCTTCCGGTTTATGATTGCATCGGGATGGTTTTGTGGCTAGCTGGCTATACTTTCACTCTTCTTTGGTTGATAAGGCTCGCTTTCACCCTTCTTTTCGTTGTTCCCGCATTCGCTTGTCTTTCAAATGACACGAGTACAGAAGTATGCGGTAACCGCGTCTTCACGCAGAGAATTAAAGACGACATCAACATGGCAGGAACATTCGTGGAAGCGGGAAACTCCATTCTTATCATATCCTTGATATTTTTGTGGGGAAAATTCAACGTCATGAACTTTTTCTTAGCCGTTCCTCGATTGGCCGTATTTTGGTATTATATGGGTTTGTTCTGCGTTCAGATTGTTTCGATCATCAATATTGATATCCTACCCGGTGAGAGGAGCTGGATTGCAATTGGAGTGAGTCTGTTGCTTGAATTTGCAACTCTGTTCCTGCTGTGTCTTACGCTTAAATTTGTCAAGAAATCGGTTGTAAGTGCATGGACTTACAGAAACACAAGTCAACGGTGGGCAAAATTTTTGTATTGTCTTTATGTGTCAACTCTGTGGATGTACTTACTGAGGAATCTAGCGTTGGTGACCTATGACATGGCATTGTTTGCCATGAATATTAACAGTCACGCTAAAAGTAAACAGATAGACCACATCACACGAATCGTTAACATTGCAATCAGGAGTAGCTTTGTGCAGTTTTTCTATGCAGCTATATTTAGAAACGTAAAACTGTCAAAAGTGTGCGAGGAGGGTGATAGTGTCCCACAAACTGGCCGAAGTTTCGAGAATAGTCTGGACACAGTATTGGAATGGGAGCCATCTATAAAATGATTTGTAATAAGAACATAAAGAGTCTATAAACTTATAGACTGTGTTGATGCACAGATGAAACGTCATATGTAGCTTCGTATCGGTCGATAATCGATCAATGCATCAAACATCGGTCGGCCAACCAATCAATCGACTCTTGCTACTTTTACTTTCAACAGAACAGACATTGCCACTTTGATGTTTAAAGTTAAGCACAGTCCCGTACCCGAGAATATTTCTGACTTATTTGATATAAAGAACACTCAGTATAATTTACGGAACAGTGACTTCGAACTGCCAAGATTCGAAACTGTAAGATTTGATAGGAATTCTATTAAATATATGGGACCTCTAATCTGGTCGAAGTTACCAAGACACCTAAGAACGATAGAAACTCTAAATTCGTTCAAGAAAAACATAAGAAAAGTCGACCTTTCAACTCTCGTTGAAATTTAAAACTCAGTTTATTTAGTGACTAAATAACTTTATAATCTTTTTAATTATCTACTGTAAAAAACTATTATCTACATATGTAAATGTATTTGACTTTTAAATTTTTTAGTGTCCCCCATTAGCTTATAGCTAAAAACATAGACACTTAAATAAAGTTTTTCATTCATTCATTCATTCAACAGATAATTTCAGTCTAAAAATGAGTCGAGAGGAATTTTCCTCGAAGTAATGGAGATCACACCTTTTGATGGTTTTTTTCCATGTAAAATGACAGGGGGAGAGTCCCTTTTCCAGCGTAATCCACTGTGGTAATTACTGAAAAATCCTCTCTAACCCGTTAAATATATTCCCAGTCCCTTTTACAAGTGCAGAAAAGAATGAAGGATGCCTTGATGTAGTTTTTAAAATTTTGAGATAAATGTTAAATTTATGTAGTAAAATTGCTCAAGCGAGTGTGTATTGGTATTGTGATGAGAAATTCTGTCTTGGTCACTCGCGTGAGTTATAAAGAGGGTTGATTTAAATCTGATCAAGTTCAATCAATTTACATTAATTTTTAGCATGCTTTGTTTTTCTGTGGAATTGATTGCGTGGTCCTCCCCGCTGCTTTTTCTTTGTCTTCTCGACGCCCTTTCTCTTCCTCAACGAGAAACTTTTTTCTTAAAACTATAAATAGAATGAAGTCGATCTGACCTTAAAAAGACCTAATAAAGAGTGATTTTTGACTTGATGTGGGTTTAGTCTCCACCACAATTGTCATATGAAACGCGTTTAACATCATTAGTTTTTCTTATTTCGCTTTTGTGAATTTTTTGCGCAGCTTTACTTGTGTGAAGCATTTGATGTACAATTCCATGTATTTAACTTGATGCAATTTTAATCAAAGGTTTCGGCCAACATTGTCAGGCTGACGTTGACAAAGCTCTATCAAAATTTGAACATTTTAGAAATTTATCGCTTGCTTTCGCTCGCTGGGGAAAAAAAAAGTTGTCAGCACTTCGTGTTTATCTTCCCCATTCCATATTTATATTTGTTTTTTTTTTCTTTTTCTGATCTTCTTTGTGTTTTTTACCCATAAAAAAATCATTTTTCTCTGCGGTGTCTTTGTTCTGCTTAGAAGCTCTTTTAAACTTACAGTAGCTTTGCCTGAACTCCTGATTTTTAAACCAAATCTTTGAATTGTTTTGATAACGCTTAAAGTTATTAAAAAGTAACAATTAGAGATCCTGTTGACTTCACTTACTCTGAGGGATAATTTTGAAACACGTGCCGCCTATGTGCCGGTTTTAAAACTTTAATGAAGAACCCACGGCTTGTAATACAAAAGAGACAATGAGTGCACTTCACAGTTACTACACATGAGCTGAGCCCATCCCAGTTGGATTCAAACCGGTTGAAACAAACACGCGTCAAGCTCGCCAGTTTAAAACTGTTTGCACGCCAAAAGGATTTTCACAACACAGTGCGTTAACGGTAACGAACGCCGCAACATGGCCGCTTTGAAACCAAAAAGAGCGATACCGAGTAGATGCTGCTCCAGTTGGTTGAAGATTTGGCGCGTAATTCGGCAAGACACTCTGCTATTCCTCATAATAATCGGCGTGCTAGTCGGATTTATTGTCGGGGCCGCCACGAATCCTTCCGTCAACGACATCGTGGACCCCGAGAAGAAGGCGACGACCATAATGTTGATTGGTTTCCCAGGCGAACTCTTCATGAATATGTTGAAGATGTTGATACTGCCTCTGATAGTGGCGAGTTTGATTTGCGCGCTTGCCACGTTGGATTCCAAGGCCACGGGAAAAATCGGAAGACGCACCGTGTTGTATTACCTCTCCACCACTCTTCTGGCAGTCATCCTCGGCATCGTTCTAGTGGTCAGCATTCGACCGGGTGAATCGGGGAACAAGCAAGCCAAGGAGCAGAAAGAAATCACTGGTCCGCATCGAAACTTAGATTCATTCCTCGATTTGATAAGGTAGTTATTTTTTAATCTTAATTTTTGTAGCATCGGAAGTGAAACAAAATTGTCCCATGTTACCGAATCTTTCTGAAATGATTTATGAACAAGTGGACGATTGGAAAAAATAAAGAAACTTATAGTACCGCAAGGATTGGACTTGGTTTTTTCTTTTTTTAATCTTTTAAACTTTGAAGTCGCGTCACATTTGTAACAGTATCCGCCACGATTGGTCCCGCACTATATGAGCTTAAAGCTCGAAACGAAAAGTGAAAAGTAGAAAGCGCTGTTTTTCAAGTTAGTAAAGAGAAGCCAAGTAAGAAGTTTGATTTTTTTTTTCCTTGTGATGGTTCAATGTTTAAATTTCTACATCTTAAATGATTTAAAAATGAAATGCACTTGTTAAGGCACACTTTTTGTTTTGAAGTCAGCGAAGTCTTAAATCGTTAAAATATAACATGTAAACGAATCGATTCAACCAAAAGTATTACAACACAAAAATTAATTATCATACAGTTTCGACTAGTTTGAATTTTTCGGCATACTTTCAAAGTTGCTGTACCAACATTGCTGACCCAGGAATTAACCATGATATAATAATTAATGTCATGTTTGTGTTTTTCCAAATTCTTTATTGAGGTCTTCCCCCGGGAACCCTCAATATCATGCTGATTGACAGCTGTTGTTTTCGTGGCTTTTCTCGCACAAAGCGACATGAAGAACAAAGCCTGAAAGGCACTTTTTATCACAAAACAATCTCAAAGACGTTCTTACTTTTTTGATGAAAACTTTTATTTTTTTTCATAAATTCGGAAGAAAAACTTTCCTATATTAATTTTTGATTAGCTTAAAATGAGATGTAACTTAATTTCATGTTTATCTTCCTTTTTTGCGCAGTATTTATGTTATCCAACTCACAGGAGAAATCAAAATTTTCCTTTCGCTGTTACTTATGTCCTCATATTCTGTCTTTCGACCTCTCTCTCTCTCTCTCTCTCTCTCTCTCTCTCTCTCTCTCTCTCTCTCTCTCTCTCGGAAAGTTATTTCAACACAAACTTATAAACTGCATCTTAAATAGTCCATTTCCGAATTACCCTTGGTTTCATTTTCAAAACGAGGTCTGGTGCTCAAACATTCTTGTGAAAATGAGTTTGATTTGTATGTGAATGAAAACTTATTATCATATGAAAGGATGAGCACCAGGACTCGTTTTGAAAATGAGGCCAAGGATAATTCGGAAATGGGCTATTCATTCAACTCAGTGCGTTATAACATTTTCGCTTTTTTGAAAGTAAATGTCTTTCATCAGCAGCTGTGAAATCACAACAAAATGAGACAAGCAAAGAGACTTCTGACATTATGGAGGAAAACAATTAGTATTCTTTCCATTTCTAGTTCTGTTTATATGGTATGTGCAACGAATACTCTGAAAGAATTGGCATAACACTTTTCCAACGAAACAAATTTTTCCACATCAACTAGTAAACGTATAACCCTAAATTATTAATTCAGCCGATATCCATTCACTGTTTGGAACGCCTTGATACGATGACTACGTTAAGGAAAAAATTTCCTCGGGATAACTGATTCACTTTTAAGCCGAGTTTAGCTTTCGTGTAAGGATAAGGTTACTTTTCATTGAAATATACTTTCACGTGTTGGACACTTGTAAATATTTAAGCCTACTTGTTGAACGTGTGTTACAGGAATTAAGCCAAGCTAAGTAAGAATTCTTTCCCAACACGCTGAATGTTAAAGCTGACCCGATGTTGTTTCCTGATTTCAGTAATAAAATTCTGGTACAGTTCATTTTTATTTCTTGCAATGTCAGTTTGGAGAATTACTTTATAGTTTAGTACACAATTACTGTTCAGTTGAGTCTCACGCGTTGACGACACGCTTCCCATCACAAACACAGAGAAAACGCATTTGCAAGTAAAACAATTCTCAGATTTGTTAGTTCTAAGTGCCCTTATGAGATATTTTGTCTTTGTCCTTCACTTTAAACATGTAAACATTGCCGGTCGCGGTGCTTTTTGACAGCTTTTTTAAAAGAAGAAGAAATCTACTCATGAAATGCGTGTTACGTTTACCCATAGGAGCTGTTTCCCCAAGAACATCGTTGAGGCCACCTTCCGTCAGGTAAAAAACTTGGGACTTGAGAAAGGTTTTGTTTTCTTTTGAGATTCACTCATAGATCAGTTAGGTCTACTAGACGGCCAATGGGTCGAGCAATCCGTCGGTCAATCGGTCTTTCAGTCATTTGGTGCATGAGACAGGTAGACAGTCACTAGTCACGTGGTCGGCCGGTCAGACTATCTATCTGCTAATCCGTCAGTGTGCCAGTCTGTTACTCATTGATTGATTCAGTCAGTCCGTCAGTTATTTAGCCAGTCCGTCCGACATTTTGTCAGTAAGTCGGCCAATTAGCCACGGAGTCTTTCAAATTCCTTGTTAATCATTTGATTCACTCGCAATAACGTTGAAAGTTATCTTTCACCAGCAAAATACAAAGTACAAGTCGATTCCTGCAAAGATCGAGTCTTACAACAAGACAGTCGATGTGAGAGCACTTGACCCAAGGGATAATATAACAGTCTACAACAATGGCACCCACAATTACACCACGATCACCAAAGTGATCTATCCAGCTTCAGACACCATCCCGAATGGTCAGCGGATAGCTAACGAGGGAGGAATGAATGTCCTCGGTCTGGTGATGTTCTCAATTGTGTTCGGGATTGTTCTTGGAAGGATGGGTGAGAAAGGATTGCCTTTAAAAGCGTTTTTTGAGACTTTGAACGAAGTTGTGATGAAGATGGTGACTCTGGTGATGTGGTATGTTGTTCAAGTCCAAACGAAACTCCTTGTGTAGCAATTTTTAAGAATTTGTCGGACGATTTCCATCCAGATATCTTTTTGAACGATGACTTAATTTTGAATTCTACATAAAAATTCTGGAAAGAAAATGACAACTCAGCGAGTAACTTCCAGCGTGAGCTTCAAGTAAAACCGCCTCTATTCGCTTACTGCTTTATGTGCGCAGTTCTGAGGCCGGATTGGTAGTGGCAGTTAGATCATAGACCCAAACCTATCTGATTGACGAAAAATTATGGCTTTCTGCAAAAATGTCATTTGGTTTTTATTTCATAATTCGATTTCCCTTCATAACACTAAGAAAAAATGATTGGATTAATAATTTTACTGTAATCGCCTCATTGGTAACACCTCGTTTTAATTATCAGAATATATTTTGCTGTTACTTATATTATTAAATGTAATATTATCATCAATATCATTAATAATAGTAGCGTCTCGTGGCCATTAGCATCAAGATTCACAGATTTATAATTCCGATCAGACCAGAAACTCGCTTTGCCAAGTAGAATAACAGTTATACTCTCTCTCATCTGACAAAACCACTTTTTTCCAGGTACTCACCAATAGGAATTTGTAGCATGATCGCAGCCAAACTGGCGGCCATGGCTGACATCTTAGACGAACTGAAGCTCTTGGGAATGTTTATGGTGACAGTCATTGTGGGGTTGATAATCCATGCCCTGATTGTGCTTCCAATTATTTTCTTCGCCATAACTCGTAAGAATCCCTACAGGTTCATGAAGGGCCTGCGCGAGGCGATGGTGACCGCATTCGGTACAGACTCGAGGTAAGTGATCAGCTTGTTAACCCTTTAACTCCAGATCCCGTGAGTGACCAAGAAAGAAATTCTCCTGACATGATCAATACAAAATCAAGCAGACAAGTGATGAGATTAAAGAAAAAATATCAATGAGATCATTGGTTGATCCAATACCAAACTCTCCAAACTGACATGATGAGAATTGTATGGCAGACAGTAAGGAGAATTACTAAAGAGATCTTGGGAGTGAAAGGGTTAATTAAACACAACGATACTTGAATGATTTATTTTTTTCGTTGCTGCGTGGAAGGCGGTGTGACTGAATAAATTGTCTTTTGACTACTCATTTGCTTGTCTGGCGTAGTGGCTGATCGGCTGAGTTACTGACCCGTTGTTGACATATTGAAATTCACCGATTAAATGACTCTGACCTATCGCTCGCTTGACTGACCCACCAACCAGGTGGCAGACGGGCTTTAGGACTGACTAATTTGAATGTATCAACAAAGTTGAAATGGTAAATTGGCCACCGTTACGTTTATAAAAGCTGACGTTTCTAGCGTTAGCCCTTCGTCGGAGTGATTAGAGGAATTGTGGGTTGTGTGTGCTTTTAAAGGCAGAAAATGGAGCTACGTGATTGGTGGGACTACGTGATTTAGGACTGACTAATTGACTTATGAAGTAAAGGACAAACTCACAAAATAACTGAATGACAGGCTAACTAGCTAGTTGACGAACGAGATGAAAGACTGACTGAGTGGCAGACTGACTGACTGGCAGACTGACTGAGTGGCAGACTGACTGACTGGCTGACTGACTGGCAGACTGACTGACTGGCAGACTGACTGACTGGCAGACTGACTGACTGGCAGACTGACTGACTGGCAGACTGACTGACTG